CTTTCTACCTCGCTCTACCTCTCCCTTTCCATCTCCCTCTACTTCTCCCTTTCCATCTCCGCTCTCTTCTTCCCGTCCCTCTCTCTCTCAATCACTTCATTCTTCCTTACTTTGAGTGTGACACACTCCCAATCCCAATAAGTGACACACTCTCCATCTCGACGAGTGGCACATGAGGTAATTTTAGTGCACAACTTTCCCATAGATCTACAAAAATAGATTTGCAGCAACATGGTATATGCGCAGCAACATGAGTCGGAATCTTAACGACAATGCAACAGTGCATGAAATTCATATATAATTGAACCGGCCCAGATGGCTGGTAACAGCAGTTTTTTTTTACCATCCCTCACCATAGTTTACTACCCCTCACAAAGTGTTTTTGTCAATGTCATGTTCCACGCTTGCATTCTCGATTTGAAATTTGTAAAATGTTACTAAATTATGGCGTGAATAGGTTTATCCACTTTAATGATATATAAATAAAAATGTAGGTACTCGCTAACACGGCTGAAACCACCGGCTCGGAGGGCCGGTATTTTGCCAGTGTTAATGGCCCTCCGAAGAATTTGCCGACAAATGCCGGTGGGCCGATGCTAATTTCGAGCCCTGACGCAACGATGTCATGTGTCACTTCCGTAAACTGGGATTACCCTGCCGGGAAATTCCACAGGAAAGACGTGCGAATGTAATGCACGTGTGGCCTGTGTAATGCAGATATCCCCCGTGCCAGCCTGCACCGCACGACTCCGCGCAGACTACCCTGCATTCATTCCCGGAACCACTCATTCCTTTCTCTCTTTCTCGCTCTCTCTCGCTCTCTCTCTCTCTCTCTCTCTGTGTCTCTGCCTCCCTCGCCATCCCTTCTTTCTCTCCCTCCTCTCCGATAATGATAAACAATTGATGCCTTTGGTGATAGAGGATCTTTCTCTCTCTATCACTTCCCCTTCTCCCTCTTCCTGCCCACCTCACGACTCAGCGCTAGCCACCGTCTGTTACCGGAACCACACCGACGCGGTTCGTCGTCGCTGACG